CTTGTAGATTTTTTGATGATGGCCATTCTGACCGGTGTGAGATGATATCTCATTGTAGTTTTGATTTGCATTTCTCTAATGATTAATGATGTTGAGCATTCTTTCGTGTGTTTGTTGGCAATCTGTATACCTTCTTTGGAGAAATGTCTATTTAGGTCTTCTGCCCGTTTTTGGATTGGGTTGTTTGCTTTTTTGATATTGAGCTGCATGGGCTGCTTGTAAATTTTGGAGATTTGACTTATGCGTGAGGTCTTGAAATTCCCATGATTTTGCACAAGGGACCCCACGTTCTCATTTTGCAGATGACGTAGCCGGTCCTGGCCAGTGGTGACTCCACACTTGTCACAACACAGGAAGGAGGTCCTGGAAGCCATTCTGAGAGAACTTATTTCCCTGGGTACTTGACTTGAAAATGCCTGAGTCCTTGCCCTCAGCCGTGAGCAGTCAGAGGACAGGGGAGAGCCCAGGAAGGGAAGGAAGAGAGTGGGAATACAGAGCAGAAGGGGACCCCCAGAACAGCCCTTCGGTGCCTCTGGAGGGGCAGTTTCTGCCTTCCCAGGGCATCTATGACCAGATGCATTGACCTTCACTAAGACAAGCCAGGCTGTGGGGAGGGACTGCAGAGGCACCCAGGAAAGGTGAAGCTGTGTGGGCCTCGTGTGCAGTGCACCGTCTCACTCCATCCTGCTGGAAGCTGGGGTCCACATAGGCCTGACCTGCTTCCTGCTTGCAGCACATGGTCTCTTGGAGGCCGACCCTGAGACCCTGGGGTTTGCAGGTCTTTGTTCTGGTAGAAGAAAGAGGGAGGATGTGCCTTCTCAGATGTACCTGAGGCATCCAGAGTCCCCTCTGGGGAGAGGACACCCTCTTAGGCTCTCTGGGGGCAGGCCTGGCCTGCGCCCCTAGCTGCCCTGTCTATACCCATGTCCCCAGTAAAATCCCACTCAGGGGAATGGTACTCACGCCCACCAGTCTGCTACATGTCTGGGGCTGGCCCTAAGCCTGATCCTCTTCTGCAAAGCTCAGGCACCCTCCCACTCAGCCTCCACCTGGGCCCGGCCCACCTTGTCACACAGCCCCAGATGCTGCGGAGAGGAGCTGGTTAGGCGTTTGATCAAGGTGAGGTAGTGCTGCCCTCCTGCTAGCTGCTCTCCTTCTCCAAGGCCCGTGCCTGGGAAATCCCAGCCTAGCTGAGGGCTTTCCAGGAGGACATAATCTCCCCAGCTCTTTGCTTCACATGAAGTGGTACAAGGGAAAAGAGGAAGCTGACCCTGAGCAGAGGGTCCTGACCTTCATCCCTGACCCAAATTCCCACCCTCACAGCAGCCATGGCTGCCTTCCCTGCTCACTGCAGAGGGCAGGAGGGGGGTCTGAATTCCAGCCCCTTGTCCCTGTAGAAGGGCGAGCGTGGTGGGTTGAGTCGGGGGCAGTTGATCCACGTCCAGGTCTGTCATTTTTCAGAGGGTGGGAGGGCCTTGTTGGAATGATATTGCCTGTGGGTCTCATTTTACTTATCAGCTGGTCAAATCAGAGAGCTAGTGGGTGTCCCCACAGTTGGGGACACAGCAGCCTAGGGTCCAGTTCTCTTTCCCATAAAGTGTCTGGACAGGAAGGATGGCTGAGAGGAGCAAAGGAGTGGGTGATGTAGGGTCAGGGCTCATACATGACTTTGTTGGGGTGAAGGGTACATGAGGATTTCTCAAGGACCAGATGTGGAGTCAGGGGCAACCTGCCTGGGGACAAGGGCTGTGATGCCTCTCCTGAGAAGACCTCCGCTCTGATAGGCTATAAGGACTAAACCAGGAAAGCCAGATGCTGGAGGCATGAAAGGCAGGCCCCCCATTACAGGAAGTGCAGTGTGAGGACCTGGCAGAGGACCCTACACGGGATCCAGGGAGGATGGGGAAGGGGACTTCAGTCTGAAGGGTGAGCAAATGGAAAGGCCCAGAGACAGGAATGCACAGGGAGGGTTTCATAATACCCAGTAACCATGTGTATTGCTAATTATTTGCTACTGTAATCACCTTATTTTCCTCCCTTGACTTGGGGAAAGGACACAGCTTGACCAAGAGGCCACTGGGGCAACACCTGGACTGTGAAACCAGGTTGCACAGAAGCCCACCTCTCCTTCCTTCTCCAACGCTGAGTGCGCAACCAGCGCCATCCTTCCCGGTTGCCACCTTCTGAGGTGCCCTGGCCATGCCCCCAAGAATCCCGCAGGCCGGCTGAGTCCAGGAGCTACCCCAGGCCTCACAACCACATGGTTATTCCTCCAGAAAACTGTACAAGAATCTCCTTCTTGGCCTGTGGCCCCTCTATTGCTTTGGCCCATGATCTTTCCGGCTGTGTTCTCACCAACTCCCACACTGACCCCCCAGCCTGGTGTCTCATCCACAGCACTGGACAGGGAGCCACTTGGGGTCAAATCAGAAGAGACTTCCTGAGGCTGTGGGAGCCAAGAGGAGGAGGTGCCATTTCTGGATGGAGGTCAGGGCGGAAGGGCAGGGCAAGCAGAGGGACCAGGCGCAGAGATGGGGAAGAGCAGGGGCTCAGCGCTGTCTGAGTGGTTGCGGTGGATGGGGCAGCCTGACACCTGAGGCCTGCAGGGCAGGGGCTGAGGACAGCAGGGAGCATCAAGACCCAGACCCCGATGCCCCTGCCTCAAGGCAGCGGGGGAAATGGCCCAATCAGTGCTTGGCATGAGCCCCAGACAATGGTGTGGAGGGCAGACAGTGGTCTGGGGAGAGCCTGGAACCAGAGAAAGTGGAGTCCGGAGGCTGTGGTTGCGCTTGCGAGGAGAGAAGACGGTGGTAGGAGCTGGGCTGGGCTGGTGGGAGGCCAGAGGGAGTGTCCTTAGGAGGAAGAAGGAGCAGGTGGGGCTCCCAGGCTTTCAGCTCAGGGCTCCTGCAGTGGCACCCAGCCAACAGCAGCCAACAGCTCAGTGCGGACAACCAGGGGCACTCATGGGAGTCTTGAGCTCAGAGATAGAGACCAGTGATGTGTGTCCTTGAAAACTGGTATCTTGAGAAGGGGTGTCCCCAGGAATGTGTGAGGACTGAGAGGAGAAGCAGCCCGGATGCAGCTGTGCCAGCCCTGCCTCTTAGGAGGAGGGTCCTTGGAGGAGACCGAGCAGGAGCCACGGGGGAGGCAGGAGGGCACCCAGGAGAGTGGCAGCAGGGGACAATCGGTCAAGGGCCATTTCAGGAGGACAGAGGCGTCTCTAGAATCCGTATAGTTGAAGACAAGGCTTGAGTGTGAATTTGGATCCAGTGAGGACTGGCCAGCCTGCAGTGGCCTTGAGTGTGAGAGGCGGCACTGAATTGGGGTCCCAGTGCAGATGACCCCTCCCATGCTTGGTTGAGGAGGGGTCAGGGGGACAGGCCATGTCTGGTGGGGACCCGTGGAGAACTATTTAACCGAGAAAACAGTGAGGATGAATCCAGGACAGGAGACAGAGGGAGCCAAGCCCCTGACTGGCTGAGGGCTGGGCCCGGAGGACAGGATGCTGGAGGTTGAAGTCTGCCTAGGGACAGGCTGGGCGGGTAAGACTCTAGAAGGAGTTGGTACTGTCCTTCATTCATCAAACTTTAACTGAGTGCCTCTAGGGTTCCAGGCAGTTCCTGGAGTTGGAGGTCGGTGTTGAATACACTCCTTTACCCTGTTCCTGCGGAGGCCAGAGTGTGGAGTCAGAGGGGACGTAAGACAGAGCCTGGTCTTCCATCTCCTGGAGGACTCAATGTTCTTGAGCAACCCTGCCTATGACACTCCCCATGGGCCCCAGGAGAGGCCAAGATGTTGTCAGGGAGATGGAGAAACCATTTCTTCACCTTCCACAGGAGGCTTCCCGCTCCCACTGCCCAGCAATCCCGTGAGGCAACAGCAGGGGCTGAGGCAAGTCCAGCTCACAGCTGGGGAGGAGATCAGGTGTGGGGCAGGTCAGGAAGATGCGTAGTTGGGCCATTGCATCAGGCCCAGGAGGGGCATAAAGGAGGGTCCTGCATGCTGGGAGGAGGCCGACTTGGGGACCATGGAGACTCAGAGGGCCAGCCTCGCCCTGGGGCGGCGGTCACTGTGGCTACTGCTGCTGGGACTAGTGGTGCCCTCGGCCAGCGCCCAGGCCCTCAGCTACAGGGAAGCTGTGCTCCATGCTGTGGATCGCCTCAACGAACGGTCCTCAGAAGCTAATCTCTACCGCCTCCTGGAGCTGGACCCGCCTTCCAAGACCGTGAGTCAGGAGGGCCCAGGGGAGTGGGCTGTCTCTCGCCAGCCCTGGCCACACTGTCACCCCCTCTGCTCAGGCTGTACCTCCTGTCAGGAAGGGACTTCTCCCTCTAGGTGGGCTCCCACCTCTTCCAGGAAACCTTCCCAGAGCTGGGTCCCCTCCCAGCATGAGGCTTCCTGCCTTAGCATCTCTACTGTGGAAACAGGCGCCGTGTACACCCTGTTAGGGCTTAAGGGACTTCTGTGAGCTCAAGGGATAGAGGGTGGTCACTGGCTCTGAGATGTGACTACCCTGTTTTGAGTCCGCTCTGCACTTCTTTGTTCCCTACTTGGGAGGGCTGTGCTCGGCCTATAGGTTCCGGTGACAAGATCTCCCCCTGCAGGCGACCCCTGACTTCCCTCAGCCCGTCAGAGGTGCAGGTGTTCTCATCAGAGCTGGTCTGAGGTCCCCTCCTGCTCTCTGTGTGCCCACGAGGCCAGGAGTGGGCTCTGTCCCCTTCCCTTGTGAACCCAGCACCATGCCAGGGGCCAGACACACAGGAGGGGCTGGAGAGGCTGCCATCTAGGTGGGGGCAGGGAGACAGATCAGAGAAGGAAGCATGAGCCCGAGCCCAGTCTCCTTACTTTTATCCTTGACCAGGATGGTGACCCGGACACCCCAAAGCCTGTAAGCTTCACAATGAAGGAGACCGTGTGCCCCAGGACATCGCAGGAGCCCCAGGAGAATTGTGACTTTAAGGAGAATGGGGTGAGGCTGGGGGCTGGGGGCTCCCTGGGAGCTGAACAGGGGCTTGGGGACCATTTCCAGCCCCTGGTGTGAGGCTGGGAGGTTATGGTCTGGTGGCTCCAGTTTGACCCGAGCCTCCCCTTCCAGCTGGTGAAACAGTGTGTGGGGACAGTCACTCTGGACCAGGTCAAGGGCCAAATGAACATCACCTGTGATGAGGTGAGTGGCCCCTTCTGAGCTGCAGGGGTTTCTGGGGGCGTTGGACTGTGTAACACCCTTTGGACCAATTACCCGCTGCCCCTTCCAGGGCAGAGAAAGGCCCTCCTACCTGGCCCCTCCCTCACCCGAGCCCCAGGCCTCCAGGACTGGCTCTGCCATCCCTTAGAGCAGTGGTTCTCTAAGTGGGGTCCCACCCGGGAACTTGACAGAAAGGCAGATTCCAGACCCCACTCAGACCTCCTGAATCAGACTCTGGGCTGGGTCCCAGCCATTTGTATTTTCACAAGGCCTCCAGGGGATTCCGACTGTGCTGAATTCTGAGAGGCACTGACTAGAGTAATGTGCTTTCAGCCCCTACTCCCGTCCAGCTTTGCTGGGATAGGGTTGTGACCCTGGGAATCCCCTTGCCATCTGTGGACCCCAGTTTCCTCATCTGTCTGTGGGTGTAGGGATTCAACCTTGTGCTCCAAATGTCATAGCTAGAGGGCAAACTGGGGTCCAAGTCTCCTGGTGTGGTCCTGGAAAGGGGTGTCCAGGTGGGGAGCCGTCTTGTGTTACCCCTCGGTCCATTCTCCACAAGTAACCTGGCTCTTCCTGGTTCACAGCTGCAGAGTGTTGGGAGATTTAGGCGGCTGCGTAACAGGATCCGAAAAGCTTGGCAGAAAATTGGTCCGATAGTTGGCCCACTAATCGGGCGGTATGGGTAAATTGTGGGCCCATGGAAGAATCCTACAGGTGTCTGCCTTGGATCAAGCTTCCGGGCTCTGAAAAATAAAATATTCTGAAAGCAAATTCCTCCATTATTTAATTTCACTTGTCTCGTCTCCTCCCACTTACTGGGACCAAATCCTTAACTATGGGAGGCCTCCTATATGTGCCTGTGTGTGTGCGTGTGTATGTGTGTCTGTCTGTCTATGAGAGTGTGTGTTTTTCTGTGTACGTATGTGATTGCACATGCAAAATAGAGGAATGGTTGTTTTTTCCAGAAGGGCATGTTGTGAGGCAGCAGGGCCAAGAGGTCCAGGACATCGTCTCCATTCTCAGGTCCCTCCCATGCCATGGACCAGGCCATGAACATGCCTAAATGAACACTGACAACAAAAAAAATTGAATATATATATATTTTTTTATTTAAAAAATTTTTATTGAAGTATAGTTAATTTACAATGTTTTTTTTTTAATTGAATATTTTTCATCTCAGCCCTTGAGACGGGAGATGTAATTGGCCCCTGCTGGGAGGTCTGCAGGCCTTGTCAGTGCCTTCAAAAGTGATTGACTGGTAAGAGGGTCTGCTCTTTGACCATTAGACACCTCAGTCCTAAGGTTTAGGAAGTGCAATGGTGCAGAGGCAGGAAAGCAAAGGGAGGATTACAGACACCCAGTAACCATGTGTATTGCTAATTATTTTCTACAGTAATCACCTTCTTTTCCTCCCTTGACTTGGGGAAAGGACACAACTTGACCAAGAGGCCACTGGAGCAACACCTGGACTGTGAAACCAGGTTGCACAGAAGTCCACCTCTCCTTCCTTCTCCAAGGCTGAGTGCGCAACCAGCGCCATCCTCCCCGGTTGCCACCTTCTGAGGTGCCCTGGCCATGCCCCCAAGAGTCCCGCAGGCTGGCTGAGTCCAGGAGCTACCCCAGGCCTCATAACCACATGGTCATTCCTCCAGAAAACTGTACAAGAATCTCCTTCTTGGCCTGTGGCCCCTCTAACACTTTGGCCCATTATCTCTCCCAGTTATTCTCTGTCCATCCTCCAGCACCAGTGCCCTAAGTTCTTTCCCAGGGTTGACTCCTTTATCAGCCCTCATCCTTGATCAGCCACCAGAGGTGTGTGCTTTCCCAGGACAAATTTACTGAGAGAAAAATGGAGGCACAAAGAGACTGAGAGCTTCTTCCCCAAAAGTAAACAGCAAGTGAGGGGCAGAGCTAGGACCTGATGGACTCTGGCTTCAGGGTCTGTGCCCTGGACCATTTTATGGCATGTCAGTCATCAGAACCAACTTCCCCAGGACCTGTCCCATCTGTCCTGACCCCAGGAGAGCAGAAGATCCACTTTCTGGAGGAGTTCCCATTTGTCTTCAGAGGACACTGTCCAGATCTCCTGTTCCTTGTAGAACAGCTGAGAAGGGCACTTTTGGAGCCCGGGTGCTCCTGTCTTCCCTGGCTCAGCTTCTGGTGCCCGTTCTGTGGGAGGGCCTGGGTCAATCCTGAGTTTCCCTTCCTTATTCTTTTTTTTTTGGGGGGGGGGGCGCTGCACCGCGTAGCATGCAGGATCTTAGTTCCCCGACCAGGGATCAAACCTGCGCCCCCTGCAGTGGAAGCTCAGAGTCTTAACCACTGGACCACCAGGGAAGTCCCCTGAGCCTCCCTTCTTCAGCTCACAGGGCCGGGTACCCAGCTCTCCACCCCACGTTCGGTGTCTCCGAGCACAGGGGAGCTTGTCCTGAGGAGCAAGGACTCTGGAGATCAGGCCGGCTGGGCTGGGCAGCTGCAGGAGGCTGTTCCAGCCCAGGAAGCAGCCTGCTGTGTGGGCCCCACTGGGCCTGAGCAGGCTGGGGGCAGGGGGGTGCTGGGCTGGAGAGGAGGCCATGGGCCCTGTCACGAGCTCCAGATGCCCCCAGAGTTGGACGGCTGTGGGTGCTGTGGGCGGTGGAAAGAGCATTGGCCCGGGAGTCCAGTCCCAGCCCTGCCACGTGCCCCCACCCACAGCCTTGCTGAGCCCCCTTGTCCCTTGCTCTCCTGGGGCCTGGTTGCCCTTCTAAGCAATGGGAGTTGCTATAGTCAGCGCTGCTACACTTGTGTATGTTTTTGTGTGTTTAGAGCCCTTCTTTATTTCTTAAAGAAGACTTCAGAGAACCAGTAAATCAAAGTGATAAGCACATGTTGTATTTCCCAGGGAATTAAAATTTCCGCCATCTGAGGAACTCCTGAAGCAGGTACTTGGAGCTCTTCCTGCCATGACTGTATTTTGGGGGCTGGGGGCAGGGCCAGCGTCACGAGTGTGTCACCAGTGCAGTCACACAGGCCCCTGTGCTCAGAAGGGCTTGGTACATGGTAATGACTTATTCTTTTTTTTTTTTTTTTTTTAACATCTTTATTGGAGTGTAATTGCTTTACAATGGTGTGTTAGTTTCTGCTTTATAACAAAGTGAATCAGCTATACATATACATATATCCCCATATCTCTTCCCTCTTGCGACTCCC